ATTCTTTATTTGCCCTTACAGATACATATATTATTATCTTTCTACTTAAATGAAGTATTTTGCTTGATATCTTACGAATTCTTTTTCATATAACTTTGTACTCTGTTAGATAAATCAATATTTACTGTTTATCTGTGTAGGTATTTTTATGTGCTTGTTAGATTAGATCACCGTATTTTGTTTCCTCTGTTGGCATAAATTTGCTGAGAAGGGACAAGGTGATTTATATTGTCTTGTTATTTGAAACAAATTTGTAATCAAGACAAACAAAAGTCTTTTTTTCTCATTAACAGAAGCTAAGAACGGTCTAGATAACTCAAATGTGTGTGTGTGTGTGTGTATATATATATACACATATGTTCATATTGTAATTATTTGTGTGTTCTACTCTCTCATATTTTAGAATAGTACTTGAAAAAATAAATAATAAAGCCCTGTTGTAAAGGTCTGTCCCCAGAGAGGTTGATTAGGCCTTAATTAACCTAATCTTCTTTCACTTCCTCCAGTGCTTAAATATTTCCAGACTTTCCGTACATTTTTCAGTATAGTAATCTTTTATTGGAATTTGCTATTCATTCATATCTTTTCTAGGGTGTAAAAGTCATTTAGAAAAAATAATTAGTATGAACTGGTCTAAAGCCTGTATTTTCACATTAAAAAGCACTTAAAATAGTTTTAACTTTTAAATGGATAATACTCAAATTTAAAAATAAATATACACCAATTTGTCATGAAGCATTGTTTACTAAACTGTTTTAAGACTTTTTAAATAGTTTTAATTCTTCTAACCTTGAAAGTGTTAAAATTCTTATATTTAACTTTATAAAATTATTTGAATGTTTTAAAAAGAATACTTGAATCATATTAAAATAATAAGGACAAGTAACATTTTGAAATTCTGTACATCAGAAAAATTTTCACATCGTTTTAAAAAATTTATTTTTCTCTATTCTTTTAGAATAATTCTGTAGCTCGTGCAGTAATGCAGTCCCAAAAGCCACCCAAAAATTGTAGAGAAGCTTTTACTGCTGAGGGTGATCAAGTTTTTGCAGGACGTTATTATTCATCTGAAAATACAAGACCTAAGTTCCTAAGCAGAGATGTGGATTCTGAAATAAGGTTAGAGTCAAGTTTAACTTTACTGTATTATTCCCACTGCTTCCTTTGGGGTTCATTTTCTTTCATATTACTCTTCCAGTGGTTGTTTCAGTGAGGACGGGAGTAATCTATCTCAGTGCTTAGTCTTAAAATATCACTTAGCTAGTTATAGAATTCGAGGTTGACAGTTATCTTGCATCATCACTTCGACAACAGCATTCAGGACTGATAATCCAGAACGTATTCCCTCAACTAGCTCATTTGTACACTATTTGTTGCTTGTCCTCAAGGAGATAGGAGCTTGACTCAGAATGTAAATCAGCTACATCACTGTGCTCACTGTTTAATTTTGCTGATTTGTCTAAGAGAGGATACAGCAGACTGGTTTACATTCTGGCTCAAGCTCCTTATATTGTCCCTGATTGGTACTTTGAGTTGCACAGTTCTAGAAAGAAGATCAATTGACATGATTAGAACACATGCCTAGGAAAATACAGCTGCTAGAAGAGACAAATTGAGAAGTTAAACGAAAAACTAATAAGAGATTCAAGAACATGCAAAAAGACATTTTGGTATCAAAAAACAACCCCATGATTGCTTAACTGAATTCATTCAATTGATGAATTGACGTTTTGGGCTTGAATTAATGACTTAGAAGATATTCAGTAGAAGAACTTAGGACTTAAAAGAAATATCTAAGAAAACTGAGCAAAAAAATAAATAAATAAATTATAAATGACTTGTATGTGTAGGGGAAATGAGAGTTTTGTTGAAATAGATTTCTTCTAGTCATTTTTATGTGATTATGAGAGCAGAAGAAAGGAAAATAACCATAATACCATAATGGATGTTGGAGAG